CCCCACTATTTTATGAAGAGCAGAGATGTCAGCTTGAGGACTAAGGTGCGCCTGACCTAGGCCATGGTGTTTTCAATAGCCTCATATGGATGTGAAAGCTGGACAGTGAATAAGGAGGATCGTAGAAGAATTGATGCCTTTGAGTTGTGGTGTTGGAGGAGAATACTGAAAGTGCCATGGACTGCCAAAAGAACCAATAGATCTGTTTTGGAAGAAGTGCAGCCAGAGTGCTCCTTGGAGGCCAGGATGGCTAAGCTTCGTCTCTCCTACTTTGGACATATTGTCCGGAGGAAACAGTCACTGGAGAAGGATGTCATGCTGGGTAAGGTGGAGGGTCAGAGAAAAAGAGGAAGACCCCTAACGAGATGGATTGGCCAGGTGGCATCATTGATGGACTCAAGTGTGGCAGCGGTAGTGAGGTTGACCCAGGATCGGACATTGTTTCATTCTGCTGTGCATGGGGTCGCTATGAGTCGGCTCTGACTCAATGGCACCTGACAACAACAACAACAACAACCCCACTATTTTGCTTTGATGCTGCCATATTGAGCACTCAGTAAGTATTGGTTATTATTATTACTACAAGAAAGACAATGTGTGTCCCCTGGAGACCAGCTAGCTCAATGGTTTATTCTCCAAGATCCAGGATCCAGTCTCAGTCATTCATGTGAGTCAAGTTAACTTTTGTATTCTTGTCTAGATTATCTTATCTTGTTGGTAAGTGCCATCCAGTTGATTCTGACCCATAGAGACCTTGTATAGGGTTTCTGAGGAGCGGCTGGTGAGCTCGAACCACTGACCTTGTGGATCAAACCAACTTTGCAGGCCAGCGCATTAACCCACAGTGCCACACCAGAACTCAAATCTCTTATAGACTTGTATTTGTGGACTTTTCTCTCCAACTCCAATGATGACAATTTCTGCATGTGTTTTCGTTCTTCCTTTAGACATGTTGGGGCCAACTTTCTTGGTGCATAAAAGATCATTTACACAGAAATTGTCACTGTGTGTTAGACACAGTAGGCATATTGTTTTCATTTTTGTTCCAGTACATTTGAGATTTTGTTACTTCTTCTGTTTACCTTTAGATTTGATTTATGTAAATTTTCTCCAAATATGAAAAAGCAATGTCTAAGGCTTTTATGGAGTCCTGGTGTGTTGCTGTAGGATCAGCTCTGGACTTTGAACCACAAGGTCGGCAGTTCAAACCCACCAGCTGCTTCTTAGAAACTGTACAGGGTCACTATGTGTCGGGGACTTGCCTCGACATAGGGGTTCGGTTCATGAGGAGGAGATACCTGGTGGCGGTAAAGATATACACAGACAGACAGAAAGAGGGGGACAAGGAGGCACCCAGAAACCAGGGTGGATGCATCACTGGTGGACAGACTTGGGGCTACAGGCATTGTGGCCTCTGCAGGCAACAGCAACTCACTGCCCTGCAATCTTTACTGCATGCCCTCCAACCTGTAATGCACTGCAATTTTTACTGCATGCCTTCCAACCCATAATGCACACCTGGGGAGGCCCGGGCCTCTGTTTTATTTAGGGGAGGAGCTTCACACCAAGCTGGGAGGGACTTAGGCAAGGTACAGCTAACATCAGTAATTTTCCAGACATTCAGGTAACTTTACATAGTACTTCGCTGGTTCGAATCCCAGGCCAGCAACTTGGATTCTCAGGCCCAATTAACATATCTATAGGCCCTGAGCTCAGGTGGGGGAAGGTGAGAGGTCAGGACAAAAGCTTGGGCGGAGTCCCGCTGTTTCGGCTTCCTAGAGCCAGGTTTTCAGGAACTTGGCTGAATAGCTAACACTTGGGAGAGATTCAGGGAGGATGGCTTTTTTGTCTATAGAACAAAGAACTGTGAAATAGCTAAGATGTTTTTAGTTAATCCTTTGGAGAAAGGCTTGATCTTGCAATTTTTAGTCTCGGCTTTAGGAAAATATCACATTTATCTGTGGATTATCAAGGACTCCATGTATTAAATTAATACATGTAACTGAATATTAAGATGAAAAACAATTTGCCATTGACTGCCAAGTGGCTAGATCTGTTACACTCGGGCCTATAGGGCCTGGAACCTCTGACCAGTCTTACATGGTCTGCAACAGCTATGAGTTGGCACCAACCTGGTATCACTTAACAACCACAACAAGACTTTTAGATGTTTGCTTCCTTTCCTCTTGTCCTTGATCTAAAGGCTAAGCTTAACATCAGTTACTCAAGTTGTCTGTCAGTTTGTTGTACTGTGGTGGCGTGCATGTTACTGTGAAGCTGGGAGCTATGCCACTGGAATTTCAAATACCAACAGGATCTCCCATGGTGGACAGGTTTCAGTGGACCTTCCAGACTAGAACAGACTAGGAAGAAGGAAGAGGCAGTCAACTTCTGGGATTAGCCACAGGAAACATGAATAGCAGCAGAATGTTGTAGGATGCATTTCAGGTTGCTGAAAGTGATTGTCACATGGTTTACTATGCCGGAAGGACAAACTGAAAGGGAATGGCATCACATTCATCATCCAAAAGAACATTTCAAGATCTTTCCTGAAGTACAATGCTGTTAGTGATAGGCTAATATCCATACATCTACAAGGAAAACAAGTTAGTATGACCATTATTTCAAATTTACCCATCAACCACCAAAGCCAAACATGAAGAAACTGAAGATTTCCTCCAACTTTTGCAGTCTCAAATTGGTCAAATATGCATTTAAGATGCATTGAGATTTACTGATGATTAGAATGCAAAAGTTGGAAACAAAGGATTTGTTGTTGTTAAGTGCTGTCTTGTTGGTTCTGATGCATAGAAACCCTGTATAGGGTTTCTAAAGAGTGGCTGGTGAATTTGAACTGACAACCTGGTGGTTCAAACTGACTTTGTGGTCGAGTGCTTATCCTACAGTGTTGGAAAATATGATCTTGGAGATAGAAATGACGCTGGAGATCACATGATAGAATTTTGCAAGACAAATCACCAATTTGTTGCAAATACTTTTTTCAACAACAACAAAAAACATGGTGCAATCACAAGATGGAGTACACAGGAATCAAATCAACAACTGCTGTTGAAAGAGCCAATGAAGAAGCTCCACATCAGTCAGGAGAAAGCCAGGAGCCAACTGTTCACGGAACAGACCATGACTTGTTCATATGAAAGTTCAGGTTGAAGCTGAAGAAAATTAAAACAAGTCCATGAGTCAAAGTATGAACTTGAGAATAGAACACCTGAACTTAGAGACCATCTTAAGAATAGGTTTGATAATTAAATGCTAATGACTGAAGACCAGAGGAATTATGGAACGGCATCAAGAACATCATACATGAAGAAAACACAAAGTCGCTAAAAAGCAGGAAGACCAAAAAGGATGTCAGAATCTCTGAAGTCTGCTCTTAAATGTAGTGTTGTTGTTGTGGTTGTTAAGCACCGTCGAGTCGGTGTATAGGGTTTCTGAGGAGCAGCTGGTGAATTTGACCTTATGGTTCAAACTGATCTTGTAGTCCTGCACATTAACCCACAGTGCCACTCCAGGACTCCTAAATGTAGTGGGGCGAAAGTGAAAGGAAGCAATGATGGCTAGAGCCAAACAGAAGTTCTAAAGGGCGGATGGATGAAGGTGGTTGCTGAGCTGGCTTGACACAGTGGCTGCAACAAAGGGCTCAAAGGTGGCAATGACTGAGGATGGTGCACATCTGGGCTGGTTCATTCTGCTGCTCACGGGGGTCGCTATGAGTTGGAATTGCCTCAACAGCACCTAACAATACAACACTTAAAACAGTTGTCAACTGTCACCAGCATGGACATGCGACTAATAGCCATCCTTCATTTATTGTCATTAACATATTCATAGCTTACATGAAACTAACCCATTGCTACTCAATCACTTCTAAGGGTAACCCCACGTGTATCAGAACTACACAGAGGTTTGTCAGAGGAGTCCTGGGGTGGCGCTGTGGGGTAATGCACTGAACCCTAAGGTCGTTGGTTCACATTCACCAGCCACTTCTAGAAAACCCTATACAGAGTCACTATGAGTTGGAACCGACTCAGCGGTGTTGAACCACCACCACCACCTTACAGAATTGACAAACTTTTCTTTCATGGTATCACCAAGTGGGTCTGAACCGCCAAGTTTTCAGTTAGTTTAGTTATTTAGTAGTGATAAGGTGTCAGGAGGGACCAGTCACTGGAGAAGGATTTCATGTTTGGCAAGGTGGAGAGTCAGAGAAAAAGAGGAAGACCCCCAGTGAAATGGATTGGCCAAGTGGCAGCATCAATGGGCTCAAGCATGGCAACAATTGTGAGGTTGGCCCAGGACCAGGCAGTGTTTTGTTACGCACAGGGTCACTATGAGTCAGTACCGACTCGGTGGCACCTAACAACAACAACAATAAGGGGTCTGAATACTAATGTTGTTGTTGTTGTGTGCCATGGAGTCGGTTCCGAATCATAGCGACCCTGCACAGGGTTTCCGAGGCTGTAAATCTTCACGGGAGCAGAAAGCCTCATCTTTCTCCAGCGGAACCGCTGGTAGTTTCGAACTGTTGGCCTTGTGGTTTGCAGCCCGATTCGTAACCACTGCGCTACCAGAGCTCATAGACACCTTTATCACTACTTAATAGTAAAATACTGAATGCGATTCATCTTGATAATGTTAACTTCCCATCTAACTGACTCACACTTCAAATAAAATTTACCAAGGACCAACAGACTGCTGTAGTGAAAGCTTTATCCTGGTGCCCCCCTCCCCCCCCTCCAAATAATCACCATCTGTCCTTGGGGTTAAGTTGAATAAACCGCACATTGCATACAGATATTGACAACAGGTTTAAAGACAGACAGAGGTCCTATCCGTGTGGTCCCAACAATAAAGACAGCCAGGCGTCGGCATGAACTGTTTATAAATTCTTGAGTACAGTTGTTCTCATAGTAGAGTTCATGGCCCGTTTTCAAAACAAAAAAGTCCTGTGATTGCTTGACGTCAAAGATGGATGGCCATTATTGGGCGTCAATGTGCAGTAACTGCTCCTTGCCATTTATTATCAGGGACTTTAACTGTCCGTCTTCTTCCACTTCTATCCTTTCTTGGCCATTCTCCACGATTCTCTTGGTGGTGACCTTCTTGCCATTCAGTATCTCAGTGGAAGTGGACACGGATTTGAAGGTGCTGGTCCCGCCGCTACCACAGGACATGGAGAAGGAGGAGAGGCCCCCACCTCCCATGGACCCCAAGGAATTCAGTCCTGTATCAAAAGAAGAAAAGCCACCCCCAAAAGTTGGGAATTCACTGAAGGCGGAGAAAAGGGAAGCGGACCCTCGGCTTCGGCTTCCCAGGGAGCTTCTCCGACCCCCGAAAAGGTTCTCAAGTGGGTCTCCGAAGAAGTCAAACGAAAACGGGTCCCTGCCACCGAAAAACTCCCTGAAGACCTCGGCGGGGTCTCGGAAGGTGAAGATGTAGTCGAAGGGGTCCTCGAAGGGCCCGCCACCGCAACCATCCACTCGGGCGGTGCCGTATCTGTCGTAGACGTCCCGCTTCTTGGCGTCCGACAGCACCTCGTAGGCCTCGGCCACTTGCTTGAACCTCCTCTCCGCGTCCTCCTTGTTCTCGGGGTTCTTGTCGGGGTGCCACTTGAGCGCCAGCTTCCGGTACGCCTTCTTGATGGCCTCGGCCGAGGCCTGGCGGGGCACGCCCAGCACCTCGTAGTAGTCCACCATGCTGGACGTCGGGTTCCCTCCCGGCACCTGCGGGCCTGGGGCCAGGGGCAGGGCGACCGGCGCGCCAGGTAAGCCCCACGGCTCCCACCGAGTGCCCACGGTCGCTAGGCCGTCCTGACCCTGCGACGCCCCTTGTGACGCAGGCAGCGTCTCATTGGCTGAGGGCGATTCACAGCCCAGAACGCAGTGCACTACGTAGCCTAGGAGGCACGCGGAGATCCCGCCCACTCAACTAGCCCCGCCCACCCATATGGCTCCGCCTACTTACCCGACCCCACCCACATCCCTTCCCAACCGTGGCCTTCAAATTGTTGGTTTCCCACTTTTAGCAACACTGGCCTGTGGGTTAATGCGCTCAACTGCCAGGTCAGCTGTTCAAGCTCACCAGCCCCTCATTAGAAACCCTATACAGGGTGGCTGTGGGTGGGAACTGACTCGATGGCACTTAACAACAACATGTACAATAGCACGAAACACTGTTCAGCCCTAGGCCGTCTTCACAGTCCTTGCTATGGTTGAACCTTCGGCGTCAGTTCATCTTGTTGAGGGTCTTTCTCTTTTTTTGCTGGTGCTTAAATACAGCCCTGGTGACCTATAGGATAAGCACTGGACAGCAGAGGGAGGAATGAGGTTTTCTGCTCCTGTAAAGAACTGTTGTTGTTAAGTACCGTGTAGTAGTTCAGGTCGGCCCTGTAAGGCCGCTATGAGCTGGAATTGATGGCCGTATGTTGATTGTTGTTGTGAGATGCCACGGATTCGGTACCGACTCATAGTGACCCTGTGTACAACAGACCAAAACACTGCCCGGACCTGCGCCAACCGCACAATCTTTGCTACACCTGAGCCATTGATGCTGCCACTGTGCCAGTCCATCTCCCTAGGGGCCTTCTTCTTTTTCTGCGGTCCTCCACTTTACCAAACATGATGTCCTTCTCCAGGAACTGGTTCCTCTGATAATACGTCCAAAGTATGAGAGACAAAGTCTGGCCATCCTGGCTTCTAAGAAGCACTCTGGTTGTACTTCTTCCAACACAGATTTGCTCGTTCCTCTGGCAATCCATGGTACTTTTAATATTCTCTTCCAACACCAAAGCTCAAATGCATCAATTCTTCTACAATCTTCCTAATTCACTGACCAACTTTTGCATGCATATAACTTATTTAAGCTTATTGAAAATACCATGGCTTGGATCAGGCACACCTTTATCCTCAAACCAATATCTTTGGGCTTAAACACTTGAAAGAGGTCTTGTGCAGCAGATTTGCCTAGTGCAATCCGTCGTTCCATATACAGTACCACAAAGAGGAGTTAGTGGGTCTTGAAGGAGCTCTGGTGGCTCAGCTGCTAACAGAAGGATCAGTGGTTCTAATCCACCAGCTGCTCTGTGAGGGAAAGATGTGGCAGTCTGCTTCTGCAAAGTTCACAGCCTTGGAAATTCTATGGGAGCTGTAGATTACAGGCTCACCCCACCCTACAGGGTGCTTACGCGTCAGATTTGACTAGACAGCAATTGATTTTTTGGTTAGTGAGCCTTGAAGGAGCCGTGTGTTGATATAATGGGTAAGTGCTGGGAGAGGTTGGAACTGGCTGGACAACACATAGCAACAACAGTGCACCTTGACTCTGGAAAATGTGTTTCTGAGACCCACTGCGTTCAAGTCAGTTCCAATCATAGCAACCTTGCTTCATAATACTTTCGAAGCTGTAAATCTTTATGGGAGCAGAAAGCCTCATCTTTCGCCATGGAGTAGCTGGTGGGTGGGTTTGAACTGCTACCTTTGAGGTTAGCTGTCCAGTGCCTATCCTACAGTTCCACCCAGGCTCCTTGTTTTACTGGTGTGGCACTGTAGCATCAGCACTGGACTGCAAACCACAACATTTGCAGTTCAAATCCACCAGCTACTCCTTAAAAACCCTTTAGTTATTGTTATTGTTAAGTGCCATCCAGTTGGTTCCGACTAATAGCAACACGGTATAGGGTTTCTGAGTGGTGCCTGGTAAGATTGAACCGCCGACCTTGTGGTTCAAACCGACCTTGTAGTCCAGCGCATTAACCTACAGCGCCACACCAGGACTCCTGGAAATCCTATACATGGTCACTGTGAGTTGGAACTAATTTGATGGCATTTAACGCCTTAACAGCAACAAGTATTAATGTCAGACTTTCCCCAGTGGCATGGGGGCAGAGGGAAGTGATGGAAATGACTTTCCTCTGACCCAGTGCTTGAGAAAAAGACAGATCATTTCTCTAGAGAAGCAGTTCTTTGGGGTCTCAGACCCTGCCTTAGCTTATGTGAGTTCTTCCTCTCAACACGTAGTGAATTAGGTGTAAAAACTGAGAATGAAACAAAACGAAACAAAGCAACACGAATCAATCTCAGAACAATGAACATGCTAACATAAACTATATTTTGTGAAAGATATCAATTTATTTTTCAAACACCCCCCCCCACCACCAAAATTAGTGAAAAGAGTGATATGGTTATATGCGTTTTTTGACAACTCTCTTTCCAAGCCAAATGAACTCACTGTTGTTGAGTTGATTCTGGTGTATAGAAGAGAGCTTCTGTCTGAAGGATTCTTCTACCTGCTGCTGCATACAACCTATTGCTCTGTCTAGTATGTTGCTGTGGTGGGTACCAGACAGTCCATCTGACACATAGTGACCCCTATGTACAACAGAACCAAACGCTGCCCGCTTCTGAGGTATCCTTACCATTGTTTTTATGTTTGACCCCATTGTTGTAGCCACTGTCTCAATCCTCCTCACCAAGAGTCTTCTTCTTTTTCGCTGACCATGTCTCTACTTTACCAAGCATGATGCCCTTCTCCAGGGACTGGTCCCTCCTGATCACATGTACAAAGTACATGAGATGAAGTCTCACCTTCCTTGCTTGTAAGAAGCATTCTGGCTGCTCTTCTTCCAAGATAGATTTGCTTGCTTGGTTCATACAGTCTCCAGAAAACTCTACTGTATGTTCCTGAGAGTATGAGAGTTTAAAAGGCAAAAGACATCGTCATTAGGGAAGTAGTTTCAGCTCGGCAAAATTCCCCTCATCCTTCAAGTCTGTGGACCTCCCAGAATTCCCTTTACTACCCTTGGAAAAACTCTGGTCTAGTATACTAAAATCTGTTGTCGTATTTATAGTGTTGTGACTCAAAATGGAATCAGTAATTGGTTCCTCTGAAATGGATTTATTTTGACCATGCATTTCCTTTGGGCCCTTCTTGGAGTCTGACAAGATGGCTGATGGTTGCTGGTTTGCGTTTTCTGCTTTCTCATCATTCCCTTTGATGCTCTCTTCTTTGCTTTGATAACATGTGAGGCAACAGCAGTAGAAGTCATTTAGTTCCAAGAGGAAAATGATTAACTAATGAACTTTCCAACATTCATCATTTGTTGCTGTTGTGAAGTGCCACCGAGTCAATTCCAACCCATAGCGACCCTGTATCAGGTTTCTGAGGAGCAGCTGGTGAGCTTGAACCGCCGACCTTGCAGTTCAAATGACTTTGCAGTCAGGCGCATTAACCCACAGCGCCACATCAGGACTCCAACATTGATCATAAAGGATAGTAAATGCAGAACCAATTGCCAACTTTGGTACCTGGGAGAAGGAACAGGACCACAGGACCTGGACTTAGCATAAAGTCCAGTCTGAACCAAGCATAGAAAGTCTAGAGCATGTTTAGAAAAGGGGCAAGTGATCCTGATTAGCAGTAGGGTAAAGGGCAGAGGGAGTGGGTCAAAGAGAAGGGTCAGAGAGGAGGAATGAGCTTAGACAAGTGGGCTGGGGGCAGGGGACGGCATTCCCAGGGAGTTCTGAAGGTGAGGGTGTGGGGTTTGAATTTCATTCTAGACTATGGGAAGCTGTTGGCCAAGGCTGCAGAGGTGAGTTGCTGATGTAAGTGAATCCGAAGGGAGAGCTAGGGGGCGAGAAGCTGAACCTAACTGAGGCTGGTGCCCTGAGGTCCTGGCGCAGGACACTGGCTGCTGGGTCTGAAGGACAGCGGTGGAATGGTCCAGATTCAGAACTCACTAGATATGGGCCTAGAACAAAGGGAGAGGTGAAGTCACACAGAATGGGGAGTGTGACTGAGGGTCTGCTGTCTGTGAAATAATGAGTCCAGCCCTGGAATAAAGTGATCCCCAAGCTGAAGCCCTGCCCACTAGCAATCCACAGTCTCATAGCAGAGACCCATGTGCCAACTGCTAACTAGGTTAGAAGGGAGCAGAAAACAAGGACGTTGGTAAATGTGGCTGCAACGTGCTACAGAGAAGCAAAGAAGAGAGCTTTGCAACCCAGTTGTTGTTTGTTGTTAACTGCCGTCAAATCGGTTCCGACCCATAGTGACCCTGTATAGGGTTTCCAAGGAGCTGCTGGTGAGCTGGAACCACCAACTTTGCGGTTCAAACCAACTACGCAGTCCAGTGCATTAACCCACAGTGCCACACTAGGATTCCTTGCTGACCAGTAGAGTGTCCCGTATGTTATCCGGAGGGCAATCAACTTGTTTATGTTGTTTCTTTAGTTCATAACAACCAGCTGCTGTCATATCAAAGGGGCTAAGTTGGTTGGTTGGCTGGTTGATTGGTTGGTTGTGTACCATCAACTCATAGAGACTCTGTAAACCTTAACAGGAGCAGAAACTTCATGTTTCTTCTTCAGAGCATCTGGTGGACTCAAACAGCTAATCTTGACGTTAGCAGCCCAATGCATAACCCACTGTGCTACCAGGAAAGGGGCTATAACTAAATGAATATTCTTGTAATAAGATCAGCGCAAAGCTGATTCTGATGAGACAATGGTTAAAGGTGTCCCAAGTGTCCAACTTTTCTAAACTTCAGTACCACACCACCATCTCTAACATCATCTACTTCCTCCCAGCTCAGTACTCTCCCTCTCTTCTCAGGCTCTCAGAATTCACTACAGCATCTCGAAGAACTCACCAAGCTGTGCTCACAGTGGTTTATTAGGGAAGTAGTAGGGCAAAACTTGGG